GTTTCAATTCATTAAAAGGAACATGGCTCTCCTTGGGTAGCTGAGGCAGGAAGATCACCTGAACCCAGGAGTTTGAGATCAGCAAAGGAGCCTGACCCCATCTCAAAAACAAATGAACAAAAAAGCTTCAGGCTCGGAGATTACTTGGTCACCCCAGATTTCCCCAGGTATTAATCTATAAGGTCCCGTCCCTGCGTCCGTCCATGTGTCCCTCCCCCACCGCCCGTTTTGTAGTCAGGCTGGTTTCAAACTCTCAATTGTCCTGTCTCCCAAGTAGCAGTATTATAAGCATGTACCAGCTTGGTTTATACAATTTTCAACACTTACAAACTTGAGCTGAGTGTGGTAGTGCAGCTTATAATCCCAATATTTTGGACACAAAGGCATGAATATCAGGAGCTTAAGACCAGCCTCAGCTACATAAAAAGTTCAAGACCAACCAGGGCTATAGAAGACATAGTTCAAAGCATAAAGCAGACTTAAAATATAAATAACTTTGAAACCCATGTAAGTAAGGCAAGACCTGTTCATAGGAGACAATCTCTTACGTACTTTCAGGAAGGAAGTTGGCCAATATGCTCAAATATTTCTGCCTTGAAAAAGAAAAAAAAATCACCATTTTCTCAAATTAGGATCTAGATAAGAGTCAATGAAGTGTGAGTGTGAGGGTAGTGGGGAGACAGAAGCAGGAGGCCCTGGTGAGTTCCAGGACAGTCAGGTCTGCCTCTTCTGAGATAGTGGGACCCTTTCTGAAAGAGAGAGACAGAGAGGAAGGGGGAGAGGAGAGAGATCAAATGAGGAGGCTCCTCAGGCCCTACAAATGTCTTTTAGTTTTCCTGTGCAGACTGCCAGTTGAGTCTATTGTGTGCAATTTTCTAACCCTGTATAGTTTACGTTACCATTCACACACGGCCCTATATTTTCCATATACTGATATGCAGATGAAAATGTTGATCAGATTCACATTTGATTTTCTGATAAAATTTCATAGATGATATTAGGGACTTCTATAAAGAGACACATGATGTTCAGTGCCTCTGTAGATAAAATAGTATATCAAGTATTTTTGAAAAAAGTTCTGAGCCGGGCGGTGGTGGCGCACGCCTTTAATCCCAGCACTCGGGAGGCAGAGGCAGGCGGATCTCTGTGAGTTCTAGGCAAGCCTGGTCTACAGAGTGAGTTCAGGCCAGCCAGGACTACGTAGAAACACCCTGTCTCAAACAACCCAACAACACGGAATGAAGAGCTAGTTCCAGGACAGGAACCAAAAGCTACGGAGAAACCCTATCTCAAAAAATCCAAAAAAAAAAAAAAAAAAAAAAAGAAAGAAAAAAAAAGAAAAAAGTTCTGTCCTGGAAAGCTAAATCTGTTAAAATTTTTTGTATTTAACAATAAGAAATATTAAATTTCATTTGCTTCTGTTGAGAAATGATAATGTTATCACGGGAGGGCATTTCTATACATTTCTTCAAGCCTTAGCTTACCTCACCCCGAAAGCCATAGGTAGAAATGCTGGCTAAATCTTCAAAAGTCTTCAGTTTACTTGTGGTGAACCTCTCGCACACAATATCCAGATCTTCCTTCTACAGGATTAAGAGGGGGAAAGGAGTAAATAATTATCTCTCTCACTTTCCCAAGTCTTTCTGGAGTCTCATTTTATTGCTCTAATCTGAGAAGTAGTTCTCAGAAGAGGTTTACATTAGTACTAACTTCCTTATGGCACCCGAACTACCAATGGATCTTCTTCTCTAGGCTGTTCCTTCTCAGTGTCCTGTAGTTCCCACCTCCTAACACTGGGGTTCCACCCTTACACGGCTTCTCTACCTATGCTCACTCATGTCTGTCTCCTAGAGACAGGGTGTCACTGTATAGCCAAGGATACTTCTCTGACAGCGACCTCTCAAGTGCTGAAATTCTATGCATATATCATATCCAAATTCCGTTTTCTTTTGAAGTTAAAAAAACAAAACAAATCTTTATTTTCAGTATACAGGAAACTCTTAAAATTGTAGTAAAAATAAAAATACATGCAACAAAATTTTCATTTTAGCTGGGTGTGGTGGCACACACTTGAAATTCTAGCACTTTGAAGGTAGAAGTAGGAGGGATAAGAATTTATGGTCACCCATTGCCATATAGTGTAATCAAGGTTGGTCTAAGTCACAAGAGACCAGGCCTCAAAAGCCATAAACAAGGGCTGGGGAGATACTTCAGTGAGGTAAGAGCGCCCATACCAGGTGGCTCACAGCCACTTCTAACTCCAGCTCCAAGGAGTCCAGTAACCTCTTCCGGCCTTTATAGACACTAGTACTCACTCAGCAGGCTAGGGAGAGGTCGTGCATTTTCCTAGAGGTTTGACATGAAGCACACAAACCTAGTTCCCCAGGCTTTCCTTACCCTGATTCCAGTGCCATTGTCCTGGATCTGAATTAGCTTCAGGCCTCCTTCCTTAACAATCACTTGAATATTTGTAGATTTTGCATCTAAACTGGCAATCAGAAAAAAAAAAGTCAGTTGCAACTACTTTGATACACATACTATAATAACAAACTCCAAACAGAGTATTTGACATGTTATCTCTCTGTCTGACAGCTCGATGTGGGTGCTGTATGAACGTATACTACAAAAGCCATTAAGTGCAGAGCCAACACTTCTGTTCCTGCAGGACAGTCCTTTTAGTACAGTTGTTTCTTACTCTTTCCAACTAATTTTACTGTATTAATATTTAAAAATGTTTTTCTCTACACTTACATTTTCAAGAAAACACACTCATGATGAAGCAAAGAAAAACTGCCATGCACAAATTGAAGAGGCCTAAAGGGTGCAGGCACAGCAGTGCACACCTTTACTTCCACCACTGAGGGCGGGGGGTAGGGGGGCGGCAGGAGCAGATGGGGCTCTGTGAGTTCAAGGCCAGCCTGGTCTACAAGGCGAGTTTCAGGACAGCCAGGGCTGCTACACAGAGATACCCTGTCTCAAAAAAACAAAAACAAGCCAACAAAAAAAGAGGGCTTAAGGGTTGAGGGTCTAGAGAGATAGTTCAGCAGTTATGGGCACTGGCTGCTTTTCCAGAGGACCAGAGTTCAGCTCCCAGCCCCCACATGGTGGCTCAGGACCATCTGAAACAGGAGTTGCAGAGGACCCGATGCCCTCTTTAGGCCTCTATGGGCACTGCATGCACATGGTGCACCTGACATGGTACGGAGACATGTACCAGCAAAACACCATTCACAGAAAACATGTGAGGGGGTCCAGGCACCTGCCACTAATCAGGTGACGACCTGAGTTCAACCTAGGACCCACAAGGTGGAAGCAGAGAATCAGCTCCTCGAAGTTCTCTTCTGACCTCCACAAGTGTGTGGTACATACACTCTCCATCACACAGACAAAGCAGTAAACCAAATTAATTAAGCTAAAAGGGGAAAATAATCGTAAAAAGGAAGAAGTTACTATCCAGCACAGAAAACAAATTTGGCCTGGGACTGCATGGAAAGGGGAAGTTATCAATTTCTCTCATGAAAAATTCTGCATTGAAAAAAAAGTTACTTAAATGATAAACTTTTCTTGGCGCCCCTGTACCAAAAACCTTAACTATTTAAAAAGTCCTTAACTAGAATCCATGCAAAATCTCTGCTTGAATATAAGCTATGCTATTTTTAAGCTTAGCTTTGGTTTACAGTATTCAGGCAGAGTACACTAACTGGCCGCAGGGAGCCTGGGGACGCTGGAGTTGGTACAGCAATAGACCACTGTATGAGAATGAGCTATCAGGATAACTTGGGCCGGTTACCTTTTACCTCTTTTCCTTTCTCCCTCTTGCAGTACCATTGCTCTGAATGGTTTGTTTTCAGTGAACTTCTACAAGACTGCTAGTCCTCACTGGAGAAACCTTTTCTCTTTATTGTAACAAAGTATGGGCTTCACGGACATCAACTGATATTAACACAAAGGCTTTATGTATACTCCATGGGGTCCTTTTTGAACCTATTTGATGGTGTGTCTATTTTGAAGTAGACCGTTCTGTCCACATTTTTAACCTCTCCTCTCCACAAGGTGATGGACTGGTCTAAGTTTCAGAAGCAACAAATGCTTCTTCCTAGAACACTAACTGGGGTCATTGATTTGACAATAGGAGTCAGAAAAAAGTCCCGTGTCCACTGGCCTGACCTAAAAGGCCAATAATTTAGAACAAAACTCAAAATGAACTGTGCCCTGGATGCGAAGGGGTTGAACGAATGATAAACACGGCGTGCTCTGAGGACTGTTTCTCTCTCCACCCTAGACATTCACACATCTTCAGTAGCGCATCTTTTGCGAACGTGATGTGAAGCTAAGCAGCTTCCTTCGGGAAGGTACCATTAAATCCGTATCACGCCGCTTCCTCTACTTGCGACCCCAACGGGTCTCGCGGAAGCCGTGAGGACCCCGCTGGTAGGAAGCCGGCCAGGCGCGCTCAGGGTCCCCGTGCCCAGAGCAGCCCGAGGTGGCCGACCGCAGCAGGTGGGTCGGCCCCGTCCCGTCCCGTCCCGTGACGCCTTCGGGGGAACTCGGCTCCGCTCCCTCCGTACCAGTTTTCAAGCATCTCTTTGATAGCATTAGCCGGCCGCTGGATAACTTCCCCCGCCGCTATGCGGTTCACTACCGTCTCGTCCAGACGCCGAATAACTCCCGCCACAAACGCCATGTCGGCGCCACAGCTCGCCGCCAGCCAATCACTCCGGCTCCTCACCTTCACGTTCTTCCTGCAGCTTCGGCCGACGCCGTCCTGACGGCCTTCCTAACGACAAGTGATGATTGGGCAGCACGAATGCCAGTCAAGTTGCTTTCTACACGTCAGTTCCTGGATCCCTGTTCCCGCCCTCAACCGCGGCCGCCCACTGGGCTAGAGGGCCACGCGCTTGCGCGGCAAAGTTCACGGTCCGCTCCTCCTATTGGTTCGTTCCCGAGAGCTAAGGGAATACGAAATCTCCAGCCAATAGGAACGGAGGTGCCCTGGCTGAGGCTGGTGCGCCCCTGCTCGGGTGATCTGGCGCAGACCCCAGGGGGTGCTTGGCGCTCGGCGGGCTCCTCCCCGTTTGCTGCGGCCTCGGAGCTCGGCGTAATCGTGTGGCCTCCCGCAGAATGTGGATGACGCCCAAGAGGATCAGAATGGAAGTCGACGAAGCTCTCGTGTTCCGGCCCGAGTGGACCCAGCGTTACTTGGTGGTGGAGCCTGCGGAGGGCGACGGAGCCCTGTGCCTGGTGTGTCGCCGCCTGGTCGCCTCGACCCGGGAACGCGACGTGAGGCGCCACTACGAGGCCGAACACGAATTCTACGAACGGTTCGTAGGGGACGAGGAGCGCGCGGCCCTGGTGGAGCGGCTGCGTCAGGGCGACAGGTCCCTGGCGGCCGTGCTCACTCCGGAGGAGAGAGCGACGCGGGCAGGCCTCGGCCTCTGTCGCTTCTTGGCCTTGAAGGGTCGCGGCTGGGGTGAGGGAGACTTCGTACACCAGTGCATGGAGGTGTTGCTGAGGGAGGTGCTGCCCGATCACGTCGGCGTCCTGGAAGGCATTGATTTATCGCCGGAGATCACGCGGCAGAGGATTCTGAGCATTGACAGCAATCTCCGCAGCCAGCTCTTTAACCGAGCCAGGGACTTCAAGGCCTATTCCCTCGCTTTGGATGACCAGGCTTTTGTGGCCTATGAGAACTACCTCCTGGTCTTCATCCGTGGCGTTGGCCGCGACCTGGAGGTTCAGGAAGATCTTCTGACGATTGTCAACCTGACTCATCACTTCAGTGTCGGGGCCCTCATGTCGGCAATTCTGGAGGCCCTGCAGACAGCAGGACTCAGCTTACAGCGAATGGTTGGACTGACCACGACCCACACTCTAAGGATGATCGGCGAGAACTCGGGACTGGTCTCCTACATGAGAGAAAAGGCCGTGAGCCCCAACTGTTGGAACGTTATCCACTATTCGGGATTTCTGCACTTGGAACTGCTGAGTTCTTACGATGTTGATATTAATCAGATCATAAATACCATATCTGAGTGGGTAGTTATGATTAAGACCCGAGGTGTTAGACGACCAGAGTTCCAGCCTTTACTAACAGAGTCTGAATCCGAGCACGGCGAAAGGGTTAATGGACGGTGTTTGAACAACTGGCTGAGAAGAGGCAAGACGTTAAAACTAATATTTTCACTAAGAAAAGAAATAGAGGCTTTCTTGGTTTCGGTGGGGGCCACAACAGTCCACTTCTCAGACAAGCAATGGCTCTGTGATTTTGGCTTCTTGGTAGATATTATGGATTATCTTCGAGAGATCAGTGAAGAACTGCAGATCAGTAAGGTCTTCGCCGCCGCCGCCTTTGAACGAATCTGTACCTTTGAGGGTAAGCTGAGTTCACTTCAGAGACATATGGAGGAAGTCAATCTAACAGACTTTCCTGCCTTCAGCATAATCGTTGATGAACTTAGACAGCAGTTTAAGGAAGATCAGAAAATATTTGATCCTGACAGGTATCAGATGGTGATCTCCCGCCTACAGAAAGATTTTGAGAGACATTTTAAGGACCTCAGGTTCATTAAAAAGGACTTAGAACTCTTTGCAAACCCGTTTAGCTTTAAGCCTGAATATGCGCCTATTTCAGTACGAGTGGAGCTGACGAAACTGCAGGCGAACACTGACCTGTGGAATGAATACAGAGTCAAAGACTTGGGACAGTTTTATGCTGGGTTGTCTGGTGAAGCTTACCCCATTATCAAAGGGGTTGCCTATAAGGTGGCATCCTTGTTTGACAGTAACCAAATCTGTGATAAGGCTTTTTCATATTTAACTCGACACCAACACACACTGAGCCAGCCCCTGACCGACGAGCATCTCCAAGCACTGTTTCGAGTTGCCACAACCGAAATGGATCCTCGTTGGGATGATCTTGTGAGAGAAAGAAATGATTCATAAGCCTTTGCAGTACAGCAATTCAACTTGGAAAGGAAAAATTAGTTTGATTTTTCTTTCACGTTTACTAATTTGGATTGTTGGAAAGCACTGAGCTTATTACAAGATGTCCAAATTGATAAACATTGAATTCTTTCTGACACGTTGCCTTTTAAAACCCCATTACATTTGGCAACATGGGACTGAAACATAAGAATACACCTTCCAGAAACTTAGTTTGATGGAAGTGTCATTGCCTTTTACGTTTCTGTTATAACTGCTTTTCAACACGTTTAGTATTGATATTGTAAGTTGAACTAGAAGTCTGGTTTTAAGATGTTCTGGAGATATTTGCCAAAAGTTTCAGCTCTTATTTTGACACGGTGTAAAAAGTGTGATCCTGGTTTGAAATGGCCAACTCCTTCAAAGTGTATTTGTGTCAGTTTACAGAAACTCCTAACAAATTAAGTTTCTGAAAAGGAGTATACACAGTGGAGGTGTTTGTCTAGCCAACAGATGTTAAGGGTGTTTTTGGAAGCATATTTCTGAGCCTGAAGTAAGTAGCTGGCAGTTCCGCCCCCACCCCCACATACCCCGTTCATGGTGACATTAAAGATGGAGGAAGTCGTCAAAATTTGCCTGGGGCAGCAAGAATCATCTTAAAATTTTGATTTATTAGGCCTCTACTACCAGGAATTAAGAATAAACGATTATTGGAGGTTTGCTCCTTATTATTTCACAACTAGGGACAATTTTTTCAGCCTGTCTCTGAAAGAAACATGGTAAGTATGAAATCTTAACCCTTGCCAGTCAGTAATTCTCTTTTCTACTCTAGACAGAATTTTGGCCCTATCGAAACAGTGGGAGAGGGCTTTTCCACTTCAGGATCAGGAGTTATGAGAGGTTCTAACTTCTTTGTCTCTTCTGCATGGGTATTAATGTTTTATAGAGAAACTATACTTAAGGGAGACATTTATTTTGAAATGACAAATTTCAGATTATGTTAGCTGCTGAAAATGGATTTACTCCACAGCTGTCTTACACATTATGTAGTTAAGACAGTACACAATTAATATGTAAATCTCAAGAAGCAGCCTTATCCACAGACCGTAACAATTCCTATTCTTAGAGACGTTGGTTTTGTGCTGTAACGTTATCAGACGTGTTAACTGTGACGACGTCAACCTTACGGTAAAGCTCAGCATTGTGAGCCTGATGTAAAAGCAGCAGCGATTTGTAACCCATCCTCAAGTACAGTTTAAGAGCTGCCGTGCTACTCCCTGTCCTGAGTATTGCAGCACGTTATCCTGTTGCACAGTGCAGGAACCTGATTGCAACCACGAATTTAGAAGCAACTGATGCCTAAGCCACACAAGCCTAAGAGCCAAAGTCAGATCAGTGGTTCTCAGCCAGAGGTGGAACCCTTCCTTCCCGAGAGTGCTGGAAAGTGTTGGGGGCACCTTTGTGATTGATTATCTGTTTACTGGAAGGTTCTGCTGGCCTTTAAGCTTAAAGATCTCTCCTGTGGTTTTCAGGACAGCCTGATGCCACGAAGAGGCAGCCCTCCCAAAGTGCCAGCACCCTCCCCACCAAGTACACATTATCTTATTTCAGGAGACAGGGAGAGTCTCCAGTAGAAGCTGATGGCGTACGTATAGGGAAGCCTGATTCCAGCGGTACAGAGAGGAGAAGCCAGTGTCAGGCTGGCCTCTTGCTTAGCCAAGAATAAGCTTAAGTACCTGAAACCGAAGGACTCTGCTGGTAGTTTCCCGTAGCTTTGTATGCTACCTTTTACAGCAAATACTTCAAGAACTTTTATTCTTTGGGAGAATGATCGGAAGTCCTGAAAGCTGCTTCTACTTTCTATTCCTAGTCCTCTCAATATTAATATCGTGTGCATTCTGTCAAGTTCTTGTGGTTTGCTTTAAGGTGATAATAAAATTAGTTTGCATTATGTAGCCACTGTGTGAGTTTGGGAGATACATATATATATATATAAGCTAAGAATTTTTTTTTTTTTTAAATTGACCCTCAGCAATAGAGAGTTTGCTGTAACTAGTCTTGGGTTTTTTGTTTGTTTATTTAAGGCAGTGGTTCTCAACCTTCCTAATGCTGCGACCCTTTAATATAGTTTATATTTGTGGTGACCCCAACCATAAGATTATTTCATTGCTACTTCATAGATGTAATTTTGCTACTCTTATGAATCATAATGTAAATATCTGCTTATGTGACCCAAAGGGGTCATGACCCACAGGTTGAGAACCACTTGATTAAGGTGTTTTGCCGTTTTCTGTATTAAGTAATTATAGTTGCATGTCAGTCTTTTTTTCTTTCCTTTTTCCCTTTTAGATATCTAGTTGTTACTGGTCCTGTGGTATCAGTGAATATAGTTAAAATAAGTGCCATTTATAGGACAAACAACTGTGTCCTTAGCTGTTCCCATTTCTTTCCTTCCCACTGGCTCAAATATTTGCTTGCCCAGTCTCCCATATTGCCAGTCAGATCACCCAAGTTCAGTATCTCTGTCAGTGTTTTTCCTTCCTTGAAACCATCCTAGGTTTGCAGAGACACCAGCCCTCAGGTGCTCTCAGTCCGTACAGGCACCTCTTCGTTAAGTGTATGTGTGAGTATGTCTATCTCTTGCTTTGTTTGCTTCTTTTTAGGCTGCCTAATCTCCCTTGCCTTGTTTTCCTACTTTGCCTCCTTAGTTGCTCTCATCTCTTCCTATGACTTTTACCAGCTGTATTGCAGATATTTCCAAATTCTTATCCCCTGAAGATTTCCGCCTAAGTCCTAGTTACTAGATCACTGACGCTCTGCTCTCTCCCGGCCTCCCCACACATCTTAGCTCTTTCTCCCAAACCTGCTTTTCCTCTCATTTTCCCTTCAGCAGGTGTTAACAGTTGTCAGTCAGTTGCCCTCACCCAAGCCCACTCACACCGCTCCATGGCTTTCCCCATTGCGGTCAGAAGAGAGAGGTAGACACTTATTAAGCTTGCAGCTCTTGTTTTATGTGTCTAAGAGGCTGCGGTGGCGCCCTCTAGGCCAGGTGCCCAGCTACACTTGCTAAACACCCTTGTCCTTCCTACTTAGCATTTCTTACTGCGAATTGGTCAGTGCTCGACTGGAACTGGGAAGTCTGACCCATTGTTTGATCTCTAGTGAATAGTTCAGAGCTGGCATTTGAACAGATGTTTGGGCAAATAAATACTCGTATGGGTTTTCATGACCTTTGAACCCTTCACAGTCTTCATTTGGTCTTCATAGACATCCTGCCTGTTCACTGGCTAGTTCTTCGCCATCTATTGCAGATTAAGAAATGAAGCTCGCCTTATTTGTGACTAGGGACCTCACTGTTGTGTTTCTTGAATTTAGTGCAGTGCTTAGCATGTGGTTCAAATATTACGTGACTGTGGCTAAGAGTTTACCCTAGGAAATTAATAGTACTGTCAGGATGCAAACCTAGGTGTACTCACAGATTTGCTCTGTATCTAGTGTGAAGTACATCCATAATATAGTCTGTATATATTTTTAATTTCCAAAGGAACCTACACATAGAGGAAAGGGTTGGATAACTGTTTAGATTGAACTGAGTGCAGTAATCTAAAACTTATCTTCAGTATTGAAGAAATGCCACCTAAGAGTTAATATCCGTTTTTCCTTTTGTAGGCGTCAACCCTAGGAGAAAATGGCATGCTATTTAGTAGTTACTTTGCTTTACAGATGATTTCTGGCTCTTCTGGAATTTCAAAGTAAGTAAACTTGTCTATGAGAAGGTTGTCTGAGCCATCCTGGCTACTAGATCCTCAGCTCATTAATTTTCTTATGTGTGGAATGCCCACATCATCTCCCCAAGGAGAAAACCCCCAGCTGAGGTCCAGGAAACATGTACTTTTTGATTTGCTGTATCTCCTTGCTTTCTTGTTTCATGCACCTGTGAAGTTTAAAATCAGTCTTATGTTGGAAAGCCAGACCCTGAGTCTCTTTCATTAAGCCATTTTGCCCAATTTAAGAGATGAGCTAGCATCATTCTCTTAACTAGTCACATTAATTAATTAATTCACTCTGAGGTCTTGGTAGTAGGTATGATAATTATCCAGAGATTTGATCCTTGTTGCAAAACTAGGTTTTCATCAATCTTTGGGTTCAAGAGTTTCTCATTTTTAGTTTGTATTTGAAAAATTGTCTCTTTCTACACTGTAAGTACTTTATAATTTCTGTCTTGAAACTGACCAAATGCTGAGTTCATGTCCTACACATTTTGTCATATGCAGGCAACAGCCACCACAAGGTAATTTTTTCTTCTTTAAATAAAGGGTAGCTGTCCCGTCTCCCAATTCATCTGAAGGGGGCACTTTTGCCTCTCCTTAGTATAAATTGCCCTTGTGTAATTATTTTTCTATCTTCCGGTAGCAATCTTCCCGAAGGCCTCCCAGCTAATCGCTAAGCAGCGTGTTTAGTATTTTAGTTCTGCATCAGGATTGGCAAGGTTGCCATGAGGTGACTAACTACAAAAGTTAATGCTGCTTGTCTGCAGCAGGTTGTCGAGGGCTTCATGTAGGGGAGGGACTAAAGCCTGCAGGCCCAGTCTGTCCGGGCTCATCCCCTAAGGCAGTGTTCTGAGGCGCAGCTGTGTCTGCCCTGAACCCTCATGGCTGCATCTCTCTGCAGTTGTAGATCTGAGTGCTGACACAGTGTGTGTGCTGCACAGTCTAAAGTACATTATGGGAAAGTTTGCTAATTTCTGCTTAAAATGCCTCTGTCTTGTGGCCCAGGACAAAGCAGACTCATTAGGAGCTGACTGCTCACTTTGGGGAATGAGAAGAGAAAGTTTGACAGATAGCAGAGGCTCCAAATCCCACAGCCACACCAGAGCTCAAGGAGAAGTACAATCCCTCCACATAGCTGGGAAGAAAATGAACTATTTGGAAGATAACACTAGTGATTTTTGTGGTTCTAGGCCCCTAGTTACATCATTCTAAATATGTCTGTTTTTTCATTGAGATCAAAGTTTACAAATACTCAGTGTCCATCTCAGTGGATTTTCTATTCATCTGTGAATGCACCATTCAGATCCAAGTAGGAAATAGTTGTCACTCCTGTCGGTGCCCTTTGCCTTTCACAGAGAGTTGCTGGGCTGACCTTTATTGCCTGTCAATCAGTTTTGCCTGTTTGAAATCTATATCAATGTAATTATATACACTCTATCTTCTGTTCTCTGTGTCTGCTAGAGTAATCTATGGTGTGGGTTGTAACAGCTCATTTTTCATTTCTGTGTTCATGTCCATTTGCTGTACCAGTTTCTCCATTCAGTGTTGATGAATATTTGGATTGTTTCCAGTTTGTGGTCATTATTAATAAAATTGCTATTAAAAGCCTTGTGTCTGTCTTTTAGTGAGCATGTGTTACTCTTTCTGGTTGGTGTGTTCTTGGCAGATAACCTTGCTTCTGTTATTTACTTTATACAGGTTATTTCCCACGAAGCAGAGTGACCCTTACTTTAAAGTCTGTCAGATAATGCCACCTTTCTACTCAGACTCGGAACACAGAATCAAAGCTGACGTCTGGCCGTTTCTACATGGTCTTTACCCACACATAACTTCTTGATGTCTCTTCTAGCATTTTAACATTTTGTCTTTTATTCCTCTGTCTCTCTCTGTGTCTCCTCACTCTGTACTAAGTGCTGTGCTTATCAGTTGGGGAGTAAGGCAAATGTTTTATATTTTGAGTAGCTTGGTTTTGGTTTCAGGCTGGGGACTGACTCCAGGGCCTCAAGGACGTAAAGCATCTGCTCTGCCTCTCACTGCATTCTGCTGTAACACTGGTTTATGATGCATTAAGTATCCCACTGAGCACTAATGCTCAACTTTTTTTTTTTTTTTTTGATTTTCGAAACAGGGTTTCTCTGTAGCTTTTGGTTCCTGTCCTGGAACTAGCTCTTCTAGACCAGGCTGGCCTCGAACTCACAGAGAGCCGCCTGCCTCTGCCTCCCAAGTGCTGGGATTAAAGGCGTGCACCACCACCGCCCGGCACTAATGCTCAACTTTTAAAAGGTCTTTACATATTAAAACACAGAGCCATCTTGATTTCAGAAATGTGTAAGTTCTTGAATTGCAGTTCTCCAGTTTATGATTAGAGTTTGTCAATGTGATGATGTTCCTGTTTCTGTTACTAGTTCATGTCCCCGGGGCTTAGGTGGGTCCTGGGCACTGTGGTAGAGGAGTTAGGAAGGCAGTGGAATGAGGAAGTATTTGTATTAAACCTAAAATTGCACAGCCGCAAGGGACCTGTAGCAAGATTAATAAAAACCCAGAGACAAATACTGGTTCAATCTGAAGGTCAGGAAAGCAAAACAGCCAGCCACTGGCTCTTAGTAATACTTGAGTCTGAAGTGGCGATCCTGCCTCCAGGAACCTCAGAATGAGAGTGTCTGAGAGCCGTCCCCTCAGTTTTATATTCCTCTCTGAGGCAGGGATTAAGGGAGTGCACCACTACTGCCTGGTTTCTATGGCAACCAGTGTGGCTACTGGAATCAAAGGTGTGTGTCACCACTGCCTGATCTGTAAGGCTGACCAGTGGTGCTGTTTTGTTCTTTTTATTAAAATACAAATGAAATATCACTACAGGGACCTCTAAGTGTGCCATTGTTGGTGTGTCACTAGTGGTTATAAAGTTAGAGATTAGATACTGAGACTGAAAAGGCCCAGCAGGTAAGAGCTCCTACCGCTCCTTCAGAGGACTATAGTTTGGTTTCTGGTTCACAGCACCCAGGTCAGGTAACTCCAGCTCCAGGAGATCTGATGCTCGACTCCAGCTCCAGGAGATCTGATGCTCTCCTCTGTCCTCCCTGGTCATCCTTGGACACATAACGTGTAAATTTTAAAAAAGGATTTTTAAGCTACACATCTTTTTATAACTTTACAACTGAAGTGTTAGAAACTTGACATGGTTAAAGAATTCAATTTTGACAGACACCAGGCCATGAAATCAAAAAAGAAAGAAACGTTCTTAAAAGTTTACACTTGGTGTCAACTAATAAGAAGAAAATCAGGACTCTGTTGAAAGGCAAAGTCATAGTTGGTTCAAACTTGGGTCGAATTACCATCGAGTGGCAGCTTAAAAAACATTGGTTGTAGCTCTGGAAACTTGAAAGTTGAAAATGTTCTCCAGATGCACTGGCAACAGTTTCTGCTGGTTGATGAGCTGCCTTGTGCTATCGGGTAGAGGAGAGCCTTGTCTTGTCTGTGCCAACCACGTTCTCACAGCTATACCCCCACTCCTGCTGTGCTGTCACGTAGAGGGCCAGGGTTTCAGCGGAAGAAGTTAGTGGGGTGGGGGCTTGTAAGGTGTTTGCCATGAAAGTGTAGATACTTAAATTTAAAAAGCCAGGCGGTGGTAGCACACACTTTTAATCCAGCACTCGAGACAGAGGCAGGCGGATCTCTCGAGTTTGAGGCCAGTATGGTCTTCAGAGTGAGTTCCAGGACAGCCTGGGCCACACAGAAACCCTGTCTTGAAAACCCAAAATAATATAATAAATATGATAAATATGAAAAATACTCTTTGTGTGATAAAAAATGGTGAGGGTTCTCTTGGGACCCACACACTCTGGTGCTCTGTTGTCCCTTCCTCTGAGCATGGCCTGGAAGGCTGGTTATCAGTCATCTGGCCTTACCTCACAGAGTACGGCCCAAACACTGTTCTTGGCAGTGTCAGTAGATCTTCAGCCCTCTCTTGGAGGCATACATACCCTTCCCTGCTTGTTACCAAGAGTTAATTGTTACAGTTTGAGGGTGAGCATTGGGGGAGCCATCTCTTGGGCACCTTTGGAAATGCACTTTTTTTTCTTTTCTTTCTTTTTTTTAATGAATCAAGGGACTGGAGGGATGATTTAGGGATTAAGAGTTTGCTTCCCACACCTATGTTGGGCAGCTCACAACCTGTAACTACAGCTCCAGGGGATCCAGTGTCCTATCTGGCCTGCGACAGTACACAAGCACACAAGATTAAAACAGGGGTTGGAGAGATGGCTCAGTGGTTAAGAGCACTGACTGCTCTTCTGGAGGACCTGGGTTCGATTCCCAGCACCCACATGACAGCTCACAACTGTCTGTAACTCCAGTTCCAGGGGCTCTGACAACCTCACACCAATGCACATAAAATGAATCTAAATAAATTATTTTTTTAAAAAGATTAAAACATAATATTTTCAGAAGTGAATCAAGTTTATACCAGTTAGAATAGATGCTATTTTTAAAAGATGAGGGCTGTAAGATTGAGGACCCAATTCAGATCCCCAGTGTACATGTCGAGCTGGACACAAGGGTTGGTATTTGTGACATTATGAACACAGATGTATTCACTTCTCATGAGCGTGTTTATCATAGACAGGGACAAGGCTGACCAATGTGACATCTTAGCCAGTGTCATGGGGAATGCCATGAGATAAGTTTCCTATGACTTGACAGCATCACACAGGAGCGAAAGCTAGATTGGAAAGCTTGCCTGGTAAACAGTAGGCCTTGCTGTTACCTTTGGTATCAGATCTGGTTTCCCTGGCAACCGGGTCCACTTAATGAGTGGCTCCAGGCAGCAGACACGAACTTATCCATGGCAACAGCACAAAGGAAGTCCTCAGCAAAGAGGACACATTTTGTTCTGTGAACACAAATCTCTGGATTATTTAAAAAATAATAATAATAAATCAGAGTGCTGAAAGAGCTATTAAGAGGCCTGGGGCCCTTATTCCTGCCTCTGTGTGTTCTAATAATAACCACTTATAGTATCTTCTTACATTAGCTTTTGAGGGGGGGGCTTCACATGTATATCTGTATATTGTGAATTATATTTTAAATTAAAAAAATAGGTTTGTCTTTTTAACATTTACTAGGGTTATTTACCGTGCATGGGTCTGCACATGTAGGGGTCAGAGGACAACTTGGGGAAGTCGTTTCTCTCCTTCCGTCATGTGGGTGCCAGGGATTAAACTCAAGTTGTTAGGCTCGACAGCTAGCACCTTTAGCCGCTAAGCCATCCTGCCAGCCTGCTGCGTTTAGTTTATCAGCTCTGTCCAGTTGCCTGTTCTGACCATTCAGTATCTCAGTATCCACTTCTTCCTCCTTTTTACAGACTTGTTTTCCTAGCCGTGCCATTGAGTTTTCTTCCTATTAGTTACTTTCACAGATTTAGATTTTATTCTGGAATATATATATCTATTTTTATTCTATCCGTTTTCATCAGTGTGTCTTGGGTTTCCTCATATCCTTTGCCTCCTTGATCTCTCCCCCGACACCTGCTTTTTAGTTTCTGTGAACTCTGGATTTAAAATTTTTGTTTATTTATTTTCATGGATATGGGTATTTTGCCTGCATGTAATTCTGGGCACCATGTGTTTCTGGTATTCACAGAAGCCAAAAGAGGGCATCATATCCCCTGGAACTGTAGCTACAGATGGTTGTGAGCCATCGTGTTGGTGCTGGGAATCAAACCCGGGTCCTTGGGAAGAGCAGCCAGTGCTCTTTAATGCTAAGCCATCTCTCCAGCCCTTTCTTTTTGTTTTCTATTTTTTTTGAGACAAGCTCTCACGATACAACTTTGGCTGGCCTAAAACTTGATATGTAGACCAGGCTAGCCTTGAACACACAACATTCCACCTTGCCTGCCTCCTGAGGACTGGGATTAAAGGTGTGCACCACCACACCTACCTGGCCTTCTATATTTGTAATGTCATGGGTCTGGACTGCTCATTGAACAATGTAGAAAACTGAAAAGGTTAGCTTGTGAGATGGGTCGATGGGTAAG